CAGCTGAAAGCAGGACACCAATGCAGAGCCAAAGGCAGCCTTTTCTCTCCTTGAGATCTCCCTTTGGAGAAAGAGAACAGTTAGAGAACATGAAGATGACAGGTCAGCAGTCTTCCCCATAGCTGGGCAACATGAGGATCAGCACTGCAATAAGCGGAGAAGATTCCACATTGCAGCTTGCAGGGCTGGGAGTCTGTGAGCATGAGGGTGTCTAGAGAGGAAACTCAGCTCGCGCACGCACACACACACACACTCACACACTCTTCCCAAAGGGCTGGGAGGAGGCAGGTTGGGAAGGGAGCAAAGTTCCTTGAAAACCAGTGTCCTGCTATTAATGCATCAAAGCAGTCAAGAAGGGAGAAAAAAAAAACCGCAGGAGAAGGAAGAGGGGATGCAAAGCTCCCCTGCCCTCCCTCTTCTTCTGCAGGAGGAGAAAAAGTCTCTCCCGACGCAGCGAGCTGCTGGGAAGCTTGGTATGAAGCAAAGTTGTGTTTCGATCGGCTCTGTTCAACCCTCCCGCTTTCCTCTTCCAAGATTTGCAAAGGCAAAAAAAGCGGAAAAAAAAAGCCAAAAAAAGGAAAAAAAGGAAAAAAAAGGAAAAAAGAAAAGTTTTCTGCAAAGTTGGAGTGTTTTGTTGCAAAGTCTGCAGAGGAGCGCTAAAAACCAGGGGGAAGGAGGGAAAAAAAAAAAAAGAAAATAGAGGAAAAAAAAATCCACTTTGTAGATCTCCCAACACTTTTCCCCTGGAGAAGTTTCTAAAGAGACTGAATACTGCAGAACAGGCTGTCTTTTAAATAGACTGCCTCTGGCTGCCTGCCAGCCCCTAGCTGCAATTTGAGATCCCAATGACACCTCAGCTTGACTAGGTGCCAGCAGCGAGGGCCCTATCAGTGCACACTCGAGCCGGTGGGGGTGGGGTGCACAGCTTCTGACTTCTGGGCTTCAAACCCCGGGCAGTGATCAAGGATAATATTATGAGGAGAGACAAGGGGAGGAGGAGGGGGAAGGGGAAGGCGAGGATGGGGAGGGGAAAGAGAGGGGAGGAAAAAAAAAAAATTCGGATCTTCACGGTTTAAGCAAAAAAAAAAAAAAGAAAAGTGATTGCAACTGGGTTGCACGGCAGCCTGGGTTGCAGCGAATCTGGGAGGGAGAGGTCAGGGCTTTGAGTTTGGGGAGGAAAGGGGGGGGGGATTGTGTTAGCAGGGCCTGATCCTGCACGCTGTGCCCTGTGCTGGTGGGGCATGGACCCCCATCTGCTGCCTGGGCAGCTGGTGGGCTGGGGACCCTCAGAGCAGGGCGAGCCGGTGCACACACCTTCCCATCAGCTCCCAAGGTGAGCGCAGCAGGGAGATGGCTGGGTGCACGCCAGGGAGCTGCTCTTGCCTGCCCTGGTCCGGGAAGGAGCCTTTGTGTGTGCAGGGTGCCCAGTTCTCCTCTCCTGCTCCTCTGCCCCTGGGCGAGGGGTAAAAATACAGTGAGGCTTTGCCCAGTGCCAGGGTGTGCCCCTGACACCCCCAAACTGCAAGGGTTAACGCAGCCGGACAGTGAGCAGGAGGGCGGGCTGGGCTGCTTGTAAGAACTGTGTTAGATTCCTCTTTGGAAAAGTTCGCTGTTGCGTAGGGCATGCCAGAAAACAAGGGGAATTTTGCCATGTGAAGTTCAATTTGCACGTTTTAGCTCATTCTTCTTCTGCCTCTTGCCCTGCACAAAGTGGGGAGGGAGAAGGAAAAAAAAAAAAAAAAGGCGCTTTGCAATGCTCATCCTCTGTCCTGGACAGCTTGGGGTTTGTTGTCTTTTGTTCCACCGCTGCATTCCTAAGGGTTACAGCTCTCCGGGCCGTGGTCCTTCGCACTTGCCTCCCTCAGTGCTCATTCATTGCTAGGAGCGGGGAAGCTGGAAGCATGGCGAAGGGAATCTCCAAAATTGCAGTGTGCAGCCCCGTGGCCCGCCCAGGCAGCTGTGCCCCGGGATGTTACACCTGGAGCAGAAGGACGAGCTGAACCCAGCCCGGAGGAATGGCTGAGCGAAAGGGTGGGAGTTTGCTCACAAGCACAGGGTTATCTGCCAGGGGAGCGGGAAATTAAAAGGGATCAGCCAGTTCTGGGTGAGGTTTACGTGCGATTCAAGTCAACCCCCCCCTTCCACATATGCACACACTCCTCCAAAGCCTCATATTCCCCAGGTTTCTTTTTAGATCAGTCATCTGTGCAGCTGCATTGCATGGATTTTGCCACTAGAATGCACCCTTATCTATGGTAAGAGGACGGATGGTTGCTTAAAAGCATTAACTCCTTCTTCTCCAAAATTTCCAAGTTTAAGGCTTTTCTCGCACCTCTCAGGTGTTCCTTGTTTTACTGCCTTCCTGCCCCATGTGGACTCTGTGGTAAAGATCAACTCCCTCCTGTCCTCCCCCTGCCTTTTCAAAAAAGAAATCCACATTTCTAAGCTGGTTTTTTTTTTTTCTTTTCTTTCTACCAAGAAGTTTCCCAGAGTATTTAATACTACCTGAATCTCTGCTTAGATCACAGTTAACTGCCAAAAAATAGGCACCCTTAAGGTAAGAAAAGCCACCCCCTAGGATTTTATCTAGAAGCGTTTTTAAATGATTTCTCCAGTTGACACTTACGAGTTTTACAGTATATTAATTGCATCCTGCCACTCATTTTTATGAGAATCTGCTGCCGGTCTGAATGGGTGCTTTGCAGAAAATAGCACTGGGCAGAGAGCAAACACAGTTCACCTGAAGATCTGGAAGCACTTTGTGAGAGAGCTTAGGGCAGGAGAGAATTTGCGTTCCTCATTCTCTCCTCCAGCCCTTAAGAAACTGTGTGCCCCATATATTAATACCTGCTATGGAGACAGCGAGAGTGTCTAGAGGGGTGGAGGGGAGGTTTCACTCCCACTCCAACCTGCGAGACGCAAAATGGTGAGGCGTGTAGAGAACTGCCTCCATCGAGCCCAGCTGCAAGCCCTGGCATAGGAGGCTTGGGCACGGCTGGATCGCCATGGGGCAGAGATCCTGTGAGGGATCCCTGGGGAAGCTGCTCTAATTTAGGTCTGCCCGGGACCTTTCTCCTGGGCTTTCAGAGGAGGCCAAAATCCAGGTGGTGTGAAGTTGTCTAGCGGCCACACTCATTTCACTCCTACACTGTGCTGTGAGGACCTTCATCCACGCAAGCATGCCTGGAAACTGAGTCATATCCTCAAACAGAAGACTACAAGGTTTTAGCCATGAGATGTGCCCTGATGGTGGGTTTTCTCCCACGTTATTAAAGTAGCCTCAGCCATGGGGATCTCGGAGCTACCACCTGCATTGAACCACTAAGCCCAGCAGTCAGGATGGAGTTGCAAATGAACTCCTGGTCCATGCTCCTCACGAAGGCTATCTTCTTGGCATCTTTTGCTGACACTCCAAAAAAACCCCACTACCCTGGGAAAGCAATGGGGCAGTGTGCAGCGTACGGCTGGTTGTGAGCTGTAGGAGAGCCTGCAGCTAACAAAGATCACATTTCTCCTGGCTTGTGCTCTTCCAAGGGAGATCACAATTATGTTTTATGTTTATAAGACATACTTTCTTATTTTGGGGGAGTGAAAAGAGAGCGTTCAAAGGAAATCAAGGTTTCTATTAGCGTCTTCTAATATATTTCATTGCTATAGGTTCCATGTGTTACATATGGCTCTGTTGCAAAAAAAGAAATAATTATTTGGAAAGCGGTTACCATTCTTTACATCTCAGGTACGTCACACTTCATTACGATACTCTCTGTAATGTGCAAAAGCACTGACTTTCCTGGGTATGATAAAGAGGATAGAACATATGCTTTAAGCAGTTTGGGCTAATCTGTGTGTTTTGGAGGCACTTAGAACATCAAACAAGTTCAGGCAATCTAGAAAGATTAAAAGCTGAATCACAGATACAAGAGTGAGATTTTTTTTTCTTCTTCTCTCTCCAAAACCACTGTCCAGTTTCTGTAGATCTGAAACTCATTAGCAAAATAATGCTTATACAGGAGAATGTGTAATTTTTTTTTCATGTGCAACTATTAAAAAACACCAACAGGTTGTGAAATCAGGTGCCTGAAGCATCGTTATGAAAAAAAGCACCAGTATTTCATCCTTGGAGGGAAAACTGACAAGGGACAAAATTGGAACTGATGGGGCAAGTCTGAGACAGCAGTGCAGAAAGGGAAGATGGGCAACAGCAGGCAGTGCAGATATCGACAGGATATTTCACTTTGCATGGAGACCGGGTTGAGTGTCAGAAGTAAAATATGATTTCTTCCCAAGATATTTGTCCTTCCCTTGGATGGTGCCTTCTTACTTGTGCTGATAACCCCAACAAGTGTTCACAGCTTCATGCTGGGAGTCCCTTTCCAGCCAGCCCGAGCAGCCCATCCTGCAGTGGTGGGTGTAGTAGAGCTAACGAGGGCTAGGTGGCATACTGGATACGTTGGAGAGTCACCTCCAAGGACTTCCTTCCACATCCAGCAAGGGCTAGGCTGAATGAAATTATCTCTTTGCAAGCAGCTTTCTGTGTCATTAAAAAAACAAAGCAACCAATGCTTCCAGTGAAGACAGCATCAATGTTTTGCTTTCTAACATGCCTCATGGGGGTATCAATTTTAAACCGCATGTAGAAATGGAGTCTCACCTCACCAGATCAGCGCCTGGGTGTTCTGCGGGGCTGTGTTGGCTCTGTTTCACATTATCAAGGCTCGGCTGCCAAGATTTCCAGTGGTGACTGGTGACTGGGGTGCCTCCATCTCCCCATGGTCCACCTGAGTCAGCCTGCAAGGTGGGGGGATTTAGTAAGTGAGGGACATCAGATCCTGAGCATCGGAGGTCCTCGGAGTCTTTCACAAGGACCAAAGCATAAAGGCTGTACTGGATGTTTAAATGATAGAGGCAGAAATGGCTCAGGGGACAAATTCCTCTTGCCTGAGCACAGACAAAATTAGTTTCTTCTGCTAACGGGGAAAATACAGATGTTTCATCATGAGCAGACAACAGAGGTTCCCCTTTGCACCTTCCTGAACGGAGCAGAGAGCAGAGGTCATTGCATTGCTGGTGGCTCTCAAAGGACCTGAGAGCGGGGTGGGTGGCTCGGGTCCCTCCCAGCACACGTGCGTGGCCCAGCAACGAGCAGGCGCTGTGACTCTCCCACCCCCCGGCTACACGTGCCATGGGCATGGGCCTGCGTATGGGGTCGTGCTTTCCTGGGGCATCGGGAAAGTGCAGCCTGGCTCTGGGAAGGAGGCTGGCCCTTTTCCGGAGAGTCTGGATGGCCGGGGATGAGTTGCAAAAGCAGCTTCAGCTTCCCCTATCTGCGCAAGAGGGCTGATGAGGCTTCTGTATCTCGGAGGGGACTGGGTGGGTGTAACGGGCTGTCTTTGAAAGCCGTTGGAGATCTTGTCGAAGCGCTCTGCAAGCTGGAAATATCCCTGTGATTCGCTTGCTTTCCACCTCCACCTTCCCCTGCTCTGTGCTGCCCACATTCTTTTTTTGTTATTAATTGTTTTAGATTCAGACAATGCCTCTCCTTTGGCCTCAGGCAGACGCACCGGCTGAATCACTAAAACACTTTAACACACATCTGCTGAGGCAGCAAAACCCGGTATCTCTCTCTTTTTTTCTCTCTCTTTCTCTGCCTCTCCAGTATCACAGTCAAAAGGTGACTGAGCCACAAAGTAGATCTGGAATTGGCTGAAAAGGGAAAGTGCTCCCAGCTGAAGTGCAGAAAACACCTGCATCTAATAAAAACAAATGAGAAACATCATCAATAACCAGAAGAAAAAAATGGTATAAATAAAAGGAAGAGTATAAATTCAGATGGTCTCTGGGAAACTTGAACAGATGCCCCAGCCTGCTGTCTTCTGGAGGTATTGTCTAATTATTTACCTTGTAGTGCAATAAAATACAGGAGGTTGCCGTGTCTCTCTGGCATAGACTAAGGAGCTTTAGAAACCTTGCTGTGCTGATGGATGCCATGGTGATGGGTAACCCAGAAATACAATAGATTGTTGCTATGGCGGGAGAGGGGCATCTCCTGGAAGAAGCAGTTGCCCTTGGAAGGATGCTTCTTTCTGCTCTGTAAGGTTTTGCACGTTCTGCTGTGAGCATTAGGGTAATGATTTAGTGTAGAAAATATGCCCCGAGTTGACTGAGAATCCAGAGGTCCCTTACAGGGTGTGCTGGGTGTGACGTGGGATGCCCTTTGCCTCTGTGATCACGTACCTGCTGCCTGGCCCCGTGAACTGGCAGTAAGAAGTGCTTTACCTGGAAGAGATGACTCCTGACTGTGACCATCAGCTCCCTCCAACCACTGTGCACGTTCATTCCTGAAGCTTTGCATAACGCCTGAGGAGTTGGCATGAAAATAACCTCTTGGACCCTGCTGATTTTTTTTTTTCTTTTTTCATCTTTCAACCACTCTGGATTCCCTCCTGCTCTGTGCATGAGCCAAGGTGGATTTGGGATTTTAATTTCCTTTTGCATTGCCACTTGTCTGGAAATGTTCTTGTCTGAACTGATATCACCACTAGGAACACACCAAAACCCCTCTCCAAAGGGTAGGGAGGTGTAATTTTCATGGAGAGCCCCATGGGTGGGTGTCTGGCTGCACTGTTGAGAGGCATGAGTATGGATGGTTTGGAGGCTTTCTAGAGATGAGGAGATGTGACCTCTACAGCCTGACTCTGAACAGCGCTCAGAAACCAGGCTGTCTCTTCTGCTGAGGTGCCATAGAAGTTCCCAGGGACACCCAAACTACTCTGGGATGTGGGGATGGGAAGAACTGGCTGTTCCCATTTATAGTCCTTTTGACTAGGCAAAACTCTCCTTTCTCCTCCCTTTGACTATCACACCTTGATTTCTTGCAGAATTTTCTGCTGGTGGGATGCCTGTGTACAGCCTCCTTCATTAAATACCCACAATGAGTAGAGTAGTCCTGCCATTCGAAGGACAATTAAGATCCTCACTGATCTAATCCAGGCTGCAGCTTACACCCTTAGCTTCCCTGTTGTGAAAGGAAAATATCCTGTCTCCGTCCCATCCGAGACACATGCGTGGAGCCTCATCCCTGAAGGTCTGCAGAGTGCTGTAAGGTCAGGAATGAGTGTAGCATTTCGGGGTCCTGCTGAGACACTGGGGACAACAGCTTCTGTGATGGGAATGCAGGCTCATGTAAGACTGGATGGAGACGGACCCAAACCAGAGGGGCCCTCAAACACTGCTTGGATATATTCTCTTCTTAGCCACCAGTAACTGGCCTGGATGTGGGCTCATGATTATATCCCTGAAGTAATTCCCTTGACTTCCCCTTACCCCTACTCTATAATTATTCATAGTTATTTTCTAATGGCTGTCCTGCCACTTGTTTTCTTTCTGGCTTTCTTCTTCTTCCGAGTAATGAAAACACATCAATGGCCTTTCTCCAAGAACAGTTATTAAGGCAATCACCCCTGCCTATCCCCCCTCCTCTCATTTAAAGCCTATCAAACTCCATTGGATTTGTGGCCAGAATTTGTATCAAATTACTATTTTAGGGTTGCCAAAAAAAGCACAACCAGAAAGTTTGGAGAGGAGGTGGGAAGAAGAAGAGAGAGAGAAACTTATAATCTTCCCAGATCACTATTAATTACATTTACAATAATTACACTGTTCCGATGGTTACGCTGCTGACAAGCAGGAGGATCAGCTCTTGCAGGGGAACCTGTGTGCACATTTCGGCCTCTGCTTTTCCTCTACAACAAGTCCTTTGTGACTCGCAGCTGCTGCTGGAACACCTCCGTCCCCAGCGGGATGGAGAGGACAATGTGCATGTGCAGGGAGGGCGGATGGCTTCACCCCTTCGATGGCAGAGCTTGCTCCCGCAAATGGGTCCTCGCTTGGCTTGCCAATTTGCCACCTCCTCTGAGGCCAAATTTCAGTGCCATGTTTCGTTAACCCAGTCCCCTGATAGTCCGGCTCACAGACTAAGCTGTCTAAAGCTGTTACTCAAGGCAAAGAAGAATTAAGGGACGCTGTCTCCTAGCTATGGGCTGAGCTGTGCCTCATTCTTGATCTCCTGGGAACATGCCTTTGCGTGGATGGGTCTAATGGATAAACACAGAGATTCGGAGTAGCCCCTACAAGTCATACCGTTCCTGATTTATCCAGAGGGGTGTAGCAATTAGGGAAGAGAGCAGAGATGTCAAAAGGCACTTGGCTCTCCTCCAACCATCCCCTTCTTCTGGTGCCTCTTTCTGAGGCCACCATCCTTCCCATGTCCTGCAGTGCTGAGATCCCTGACAAGTCTCTCCCTTGCACCACAGCCCAAGTTGTTATCTCCTCTCACTGCCTGTGCTTGACATTTCCTGCTTGAAACCCCCCTCTCCTATCCTAAGCCAGAGGTGTGGGGACCCAAATACTCATCAGAAGCAAAACCTTAAAGGCCTTAAGATAACACATTTTGTCATTGACCCAGTTATCTGCATTTTCAGAGCTGTCTCACTTCAGACCCATCAAAAGCTTTGGATCCCACATATTCTCGCCTGTAATGTGATATATTTTATGCCTTATACCAAATGCCCTCCCTAAAACTGCATATCACTCAGACCACTCAGTGAAGAGCAGAAACACCCACTTACCAGTGGGGAAACATTTTTATACAACATCTACTTCATCTCCAGCCTGTGAATCCTGATCCTCAAGGGTAAGCTAAAATAATACTGACTCTTGAACTAAAATTCATAACTCTCCTGGCTGAGACAAATCACAACCTCAACAAGAGATATTAGTTTTATGGCATATTACAGCTTCCCTTACAATTTACCTGTCCCCCAGGATCCTAAAGGCAATAATTATCTGTCTGTCTGTCCATCCAGGACCAACAGCCTTCCCACCTCCCCTTTTCCATCCTCCTCCTCTGCTCGCCAGTTGCTGGCTCCCTTAACATAGTCAGGCATAGCTGTCACAGCAGAGAGCCATGGGTGGTGTTTGTAAGCCAGGGGCAGATCTCCCTGGCACTCCTGACAAATGGCTTGCAGTGGTGGTCCCCCTTGTTGTCCTGCTTGTGCAGTAGTAGCAAAAGTACATAAAGCAAGAGCTGTAGGGCCCTGCTGAGTCTGCTACCCTAACTCACTCGCCTCATTGGTGAGGGGAGGCGTTTTCACCCTGTGATCAAGACATCCTTTCCCTTGCACTTTGTTTTCCCTAGGAAGCATCCTGACTCCTGTTTCTGCCCTGCCGGCCCTCCCAGCGGAGCAGAGCGTCACTCACAGATGACCCAGCAAGAGTCCTTGCCACTATATACAAAGTAGTATTAAAGCATATGCATAAAAAAGATAGTTGAAATAAGATTAGATGCAATCCAGGAGGTGGTGAGGGAAAATGGACTCTGTGCCCAGAACATAAATAGTGGGGCATTAAACGTACAACTGTCTTTTGGGCTCCCAGACTCAGAGCACACATCAAAGGCCTGAACTTGGTCCAAACCATCATTTCTTTTTTTCTTCCTTCCTCCTCCTCCCCCCCTTTTTTTTTGGAGGGGGGTATCTCCACAGCCTCATATGAACCAAGTTTCACAACCTGAGGGAGGTGTGTAGCTTTCTCTGGACTCTTCCTATTTTCCTTTGACGGCCATGCCGTGGTAGACTGAGAAAGGCAGACCCGCTTGTGTCTTGCATTGGTGCTAGCTCCTCAGAGTTAGCATTGGGAGGTTGGGCTGAGCACACGGGTCTCTCGGCAGGAGCCAGTACCCTCATGGGTCTGTGCTGGGAAATGGTTATGATTCTTGTGCTTTTGCAGCCTGGGGAAATGTAGTGACTCAACATGCTCATGCCAGTGGTGACATCCTTGTGTTGTGATGCATGTAACAGCATCAGGAATTAATTCAGTATACTCCCACCATGTCAGGCTGACAGGAACTCACTCAGAGTGGAGGCATGCTCCGGTACACGTGACATCGCATCTTTGAAGGCACTTCTCGCAATGGTCTCAGGAAAACACCAGCCAACTGTGTGCTGCTTGGTAAGAGGAGGGTAACGGGAACAGGGCAAGAAAGCCGAGCTCTCCTACGAAAGGAAATTCCAGGAGAGCTTCTCCATAGCTGTGGGTCTCATGTTCCACTGGGATCCATTGACCTTTGGTTACCATCCCTCTGTCTGGAGCAAGTCTGGTGTAAATGATGCCTTAAGACACTGGCCTTCCTCCAGGGCAGTTAATTTTTACATTTCAGATGGGAGCCTGGGATTGAACCAGTGTGTGCAAAATGGGCAATAAAGGGTTAAGGGCTCAAGAGAAATGGGGACCAACTTGACAGGGTAGACTTAGAGGACATAGTGACATGAAGAGCAGGCAATTTACAACGGAGTTAGGAAGACGAGCACGGATCTCCTCCTCCTGCAGCATAAGAAAGCTGGAGAGCCCTTTCTTGGTGTTGAAATGTCACATTAGGAAGCAGCCCAGTAAACAAGCATCCTAGCAATGATGCCAACTCTGCCAACATTCATATATACATATATTTCATCTGTGAACAAAAGCCTGTGCACAAATTTAGGCCAAAGGAAAAAAATCATGCCTCCCACTTGCCTTCATTTTTATGGCCCATTTGCACTCTTTTTCCGGAGTTTTCAGCAGCCTCTTCAATCTTCCTGCAGAAATCCCTCAGGACAGCCTGATCCAATATAAACTTTACTGTAGCAGCTTTCCCAGGTGACTGGCTCCTGTAGCTATTCTCTCCGCTTTAGCTCTGCCTTAAGCCACTATTTGTTGCCAGATCCTTGATGCTGTTCTGAGGTCTCCAAGTCTGTGAATAGCATGTTGCCTGATTTCCCATCTCTTCCTTGAAGACCTTCTTGTCTGCCTCTTAAAATCTCATCTTTTCAAAGAGTGAGCAAAGTTTTCAGACTTTGTACTGTATGTCTCACTGTCCACAGAAACCTTCCTAAATCTGAACATATTTCAAGTGCAGTGGTGCAAGACATTGGAGGGGTCACAGTAAGAGTCCTGTAAGACCTTTATCTCCATCCTTCCACCATCTCATCTCTCAATAAAGTTGATACTCACACTCTTCCAAATCAATGTAGTAGCCTGTACACCCTAACTAGCTATGCTTGCAGACTCCATCCCACCTCTCTTTACACACTTAAAAGTTGGTTGTCTGGTTGAAGGTACTTGTTGATCTTTTTCATGGTTAAAGATAGGTGCACGGGATCTGAGATGTCCCCAGACCTGAGAGTTTTGGTGGATGTTGAAAAATCCTGTCCTTCCCAGGGTCACTTGACTGAGTGGTGACTGCTCCAGTGCTCGCAGGGCTAATGCCTACAGCCCTTCCTCCAAAACAACCTGGCTTTCATGCCTTGGACTCCGCTG